ATTTTGACTAGAACTAAACATTTGGGGATAAGGGGAGTGGCAAAAAAAAAAAGAAAGAAAGGAAAAGAAGCTAGAAAGGTTAGCTAGGCCTGGTCATGATGAGCCTAACTCTTATCAGACAGCAAGTGAAGGAGTCTTTATTCAAAAGTTTCACAATTTTGGAATAACAGCTGTCGGCAAGAATTAGATTAGTCACTTAGGCCTCTCAATTAAGGCTAAATTCTAACACCTGGGTCCTCCTATAATTCCCGTTTTTAGTTATCTTATTGCTATAGGGTTAGTTTACAAACTAAACATAAGAAACAAAAGTTACACAATTCTGGAAGAATGGCAGGCTTCTGCCTCAGAGCCCGTTCCTTCCCGAACACCCAAAGAATTAGCCTGCCGCCCTCTCTGCCAGGCCAGCCCGATCCTAGGCTGTGCCCCGAGTTCCTTCCCATCTGAAACACCGGGTGTTGGGGAACACAGGCTGTGGTAGCCTGGTCACCCAGCCATCCTGGAGAAGGAAGAGGCCGAGAGCCAGAGAGTTCACCCTGGAGCCAGAGAGCCTTGAGCCCGAGAGCCAGCCCCCTCTTTATTTCCATGCCCTCTGGAGGCATTAGGCTTCTCTGCCAGTCCTGTCCTGGACTGCACACCGTTGCCTGGGCAAATTCCTCTGATGCCCCTCCTACTTCTCCCCAGTGATCTGATCAGATCCCTCTGTCTCATAACTAGTCACATCAAGGAGTTTGGACATGTCGCTAGAAGAGAATGGTCTGTAGTTTTCCTTTCTGTAATATCCTCATCTGGTTTTGGTATTAGTGTAATGCCGTTTATTACAATTAGTTAGAAAGTGTCCCCGCTTCAATTTTTCTGGAAGAGAATGTAGGTAATTGGTATCACTTCTTCCTTTAAGGTTTGGTAGAATTCACCAGTGAAACCATGTGGGGCCAGTGCTCTATTTTTGGAGGGTTATTAAATATTGATTCCATCTCTTTAATAGATATTGTCCTATTCAGATGATCTGCTTCTCCTTGTGTAAGTGTGAGTTCAGTAGATTGTGTCTTTCAAGGAATTGGTTCATTTCATCTAAGCTATTAAATTTGTGGGCATGGAGTTGTTAGTAATATATCTTTGTTGTTCTCAATGTCCTTACAATCGGTAGGGGGGAGCAGAGTTTGACACCTCAAAATATGCCCCTTTGGAATAATGGTTATTTTATTTAGGCTGATTAATTTTAAGAAACAAAAGACAAGGGAGAACCTCTAAAAACCAAATAGAAGTTACCCTTTGTAAAAGGACACTTACATTTGGTAAGGGTGGTTCTCTCACTGTGTCAGGAAGAGAATATCTCTAGAAATTGTTATCAATGGACAAAGTGTGGACTTTAATCTGCATGATAATGTGTCTGTTTATTGTATTTTCCAAGATAACCTCCAATAACTGACTCCCCGCCCCCATCATCCTGTTTTCTCTTTAGCTGAAGGTGAAAGTGAAGGCTTTTGTCGTACTGGTGAGTCACTCAGTGTTTCAGCATCCCTCCCATGTATGCAGGAAGTGTATGTGTTGTTAAACTTCAATTTGCTTTCCCCCTGCTAATCTGTTTCATCTCAGTTTGATTATTAGGCCTGCCAGAAGAACCTAGAAGGGTAAAGAAAATTTTTTCTTCCCTGATGGTAGTGATGATCCCTCTTTCATTTTGATATTAGTAACTCATGTCTTCTGTTTCTTGGTTAGCCTGGTTAGAGAGAGGTTTGTTCATTTTATTGATCTTTTCAAAGAATCAGCTTTAGTTTCATGGTTTCTCTATTGTTTTCCTGTTTTGTAATTTCATGGATTTCTGCCCTAATTATTATTATTTCTTTTGTTCTGCTTTATTTAGTTCCCTAGTTTCCCTAAGGTAGAAGCTTAGAATATTGATTTCCTATCCTTCTTCTTTTATAATATTTGCATTTAAGGCTATAAATTTACCCCTAAGCACTGTTTTTACTGCATCTCACAAATTGTATAAGTTGTATTTTCATTTTCCTTAGTTCCAAATATTTTTTAATTTCTTGAGACTTCTTTTTTGACAGATAAATTTTTTAGAACTGTGTTTAATCTCTAAATATTTTGGGATTTTCCAGCTATCTTCCTGTTATGAATTTTTAATTGCATAGTATCCTTTTAAGCAGTTGTATAGCATCCTGTTACATAGATCTATCATTGTTTATGAAAATGTTTTTAAGACATTTTTGCTTTATAAATAATGCTATTGTTATCAAATAGAAAGAGTTCATCCACCCGGCGCTAGCAGAGCCAAACACTAAACACAGAGAATTCTGGTAGAAGAGATATTGGCTATTTTATTATTATAAGTGGCACCACCCCAGAGAATGGGAAGCTAATGCTCAAAAGCGTGACTCCCCAATGGCATGTAGGTTATAGATTATATAGGGCCAAATTACAAGACACCATGGATTTGGGATTCAGGGTCCTGTTGGGAGCTCATTGGTAGGGGGTGAAGTGTGGGTAATAAATCATTTCTTCAGGACTGCTCTGGCGTCCCTTTGTCTGGAAAAGTAGCCAGGAGGTTGTTCTACCTTAGAGCCAAGGAGCTGAAACATCATTTAGGTCAAGACGGTATCTTTAACTTAACAGAAACCCATAACTTGTGATCCTTAGTGAGGGCTTGGCCATTGTTCCTGGCTGCCTGAGGGGACTAATGACGAGTAAGGGGAAGGGCTAAGGTTTACAGCAAGCTGTGAAGAAGCTGAATGGAGTGCTTGAACTACATATTAAATAGCAATCATACAGTAAATCAGGACCCTCGGTTTCACTCTAAAAAATATTCTTCTATATAAGACTTTGCAACTACAATGAAATATGTGTTATACTAACGGAAGTTTAGGATGCCGTGATAGTACACAGTAAGGATGTCTAATCTGGCCTGTAGAGCTCAAGAAAGTCTTCCTCAAAGACAACTATTTAAGCTGAGAGTGAAGCAGTTGGGATGGGAAAGCTAAGTAGAGAAGATCAGGCAAAGGAGGGCCCGGGAGAAGAAGACAGGGTAAAAAATGGAGTTGCAGAGGAGGAATAACTATGGAAGAGACTTGTTTCAAGACGTAAAAATAAGTTCTTTTTGCCTGGAATAAAATGTGTGTGGGTATAGGGGTGGCAAGAAAATGAGGCAAGGAAGGGAAGCCAAGATGAGGCTAGTGGGTAACAGGCCATATTTAAGAGTTTGAACTTGATCTTGAAAGTAATGGGGAATCACTGAGGATTTTAAGCAAAGAGAATGATATGATTAGGTTGTGATTTGGAGAGAACACTATTTGCTGTGTATAGGATGGATTGAAAGGGAGGTCAAGGCTGTTAGAGAGATAGGTGGTCTCATCAATCTACTAAATTTCTAATTTTATTCACCGGCAGAAACTGGTATGTTAATCTTTCATTGTTCAAGCTCTACACATAATGTAGAACTTAATTTTTAATATATTTATGGGTTGCTTTTTAAATTTTGCCTTCCCACTTTTCAACGTTAGTTTCTAACTCCTAAACTTTGCTGCAGATCCCTCAAGGTTTTTTTAGTTTTAGCAGATTAAAACTTCCCTTTAGGCTACAAGACTTGTCTCTTAGTCTGGTCTTTCGATCAGAAATTCAGACTGATATCAAAAAAGAAGAAATAGTGAGAGCAAGAAATTGCTCGTGTACATAATGAATGAAATGAAATAAGAGTTGAAAGGGGAGGTGCTGGTGCAGTGATGGATGTGAGTTGGAGAAGGTCAGCCACACAGTCCTCGGAAAGCCTGCAGCTCACAGCCATAAACATGAGAAGAACTAGCCGTCAAGAGACCTGGGCCCTATGTTTCAAATATAAATCTTTCCCAAGAACCCATTGGTTTCTGAAAAAAATTAAGTTAGAGGGAGCACACTTATTTGTCCAATTCAGCGTTTTAGTGACCTAGCCTGCAGGTGAGCATTTTTGCCACCAGTGCTATTTTAACATTATCATCATCATCATTTGTCTATATAAGTCTTCTAATTTCAAAGATCCTTGTCTGATTTTCTCAGAACCTCTTTCTACAAACTGTCTTTTGACAAGACTCCCTCTGAAGGAGTTATGGATTTATGGCCCTTTCAGAAGAGGGTGACCCTCATGTTAAAAAACAAAAGTCAAGTGAGTAAACTGGAGGACCTAATTGGCTTTATTCAACTATTCATGAGTTGGGGACCATCCCATCTAGTGAAGAGAAGGCAGCTCCAAGGAGCTGTACGAAATGGAGGGCTTTTATAGGCAGAAGGGGTTTGGGAAGAAAGGAAGTTTCTAGCAAAGAGTGGAGTGTTTTAAGCAGAGTCACCACCCTTTGGGTACATGTAGGGGGTCTATCGAGCAGATCACATCACTAGTGTTGACAAGGTAGTTCCAGGTTGACTGATTAAAGGTCACATTCCTGGGACAGGCTAAAACCACTGAGGTCTTCATTTGCTGACCTGGGGCTTAGCACCAGTGACTCCATTTTGGACCTGTTATTTCTTTTTTAACATTAATCAAACAGGCTCATTCACGATTCAGCTACAGCAGTGTTAACATGTGTGTATTAGTATTAATGGTGTTCATAACTAACAACCCCCCAATGAACTAAGAAGATCAAGGGACTGAACTCGTAAAGCAATGAGGAAGAGTACAAGGAATGCTCAGTTCAGAATTAGAGCCTTATCTCCATCTCATTCTAGCTGTGTAACCTTGAGCAGGTTAATTAAAACTCTCTGCAACAGCTTCCCCTGAGACATAAGATAAGTTATTTCTTCTTCATAGGGTTGTTTTGAGAGAGAGAGAGGAGGGGAGGGGGAAAAGAAGCAAAGTTTCTATCATGGAGGATGTTCCCTGTGTTGGCCCCTTTGTCTTATGGACATATAACCCACCTCACTGAACCAACAAAAAATTCCTCTGTGAGGATATAATAATTTTATCTCAAAGAGTTTTATTTGCAAGGCTTTGCAATTCACAGTTTGATTTAATGTACATTAATTTCCCTCAGGAACCTCCTAGATCAGGATATAAATGAGCTACAAAAGAAAGTGAAGATCTTGCAGGATGAAGAGAATATACTGGAAACAGCCAATTCTCAGCAACAATACAGAATTCAGCAACTAGAGGCCCAACTTAAACAACTGGAAAATGAAAAAATAAAATCTGAGGAGGTAAGAAAGTAAATGGACATGCTTCTCAGCTCTCCAGTTCCCATAGGAAACAATTAGAAATAGCTAACAATTATTGATGCCTCCCACTTTACCAATTAGTTCAGCCAGGGTTTAGTCAGGAAAGTAGAATTTACTCTAGGTGTTTCAAGCAAGAAGGGATTTAATACAGGAATAACATGCTTATCACACTGTTGGAAGGGAGGGTTAAGGGCAAGTAGAAGGTCAGAACAAACTGCTGCTGCTTTCAATAAATGCAGAGTTCAGGAACCCCTGGAGCCAACTCCTGCAGCACCAGGGGAAGGGGTGGGGATCTACAGGAACTCTTCATAAGCCCCTGCGAAGGTCTCCTCTGCTGACCGTGCATTTATCTACCTGCCAGTGTGAGAGGAGAGCGGTACCTTGTCCTCCCACCGTGCTTTCCAAACCAGGTGCAAGTGCCTCTGATTTGCAGAAGTTAACCTGGAGCTCTGCTGTCAGGGGATTCTGGGAAATACAGTTCTCAGACCGCCAACTTTGCAGCACAGAGGAGAGCTTAACCAGTACGGTCCTATCGAGCAACAGCACGATCCACTTTGTACAAAGTTAACATCCTCAACCCATACTTAAATAAAATAATAAACAACGAAAGGCATATTATGCTTCCACCTATATGATACACTGTCACTCATGTAAATGAAGACACACGTAACCTCTCAAAGTTTCATCAGTATGGGTGATCATTTGGCGATAATGTTTTTTGTTTTTTTAAATCCTCACATGAGGATATTTCTTCATTGCTTTTTAGAGAGAGAGGAAAGGAAAGAGAAAAACATCGATAGGGGAGAGAAACATTGATTGGTCACCTCTCATAGGTGCCTGGACCAGAGATCGCACACACTAGGACCAGGGATCGAACCCAAAACCTAGGTATGCACCCTGACCAGGCATTAAACCCACAACCTTCTGGTTATGGGCCGATGCTCCAACCAACTGAGCCAAATCGGCCAGGGCTGGGGGACAATGTTAACTGCTGTTTTTTCAGTCTCCATCCACATGGACACTCTGTAACTTTACAACTTAATTATAAAGTTAACTACCAAGAATACAATAATACACACTTTGCCATTCCCAAATGTGTGAGAAGCCATTCCCACTTCCATCTCTTGGTTTCTTCCATGTATTTTGGCAATGAGAGAAATGGCATAATATACTATTAAGAACTGGTTAAAAGTTTGTACATCATGTGCACTGGCCAGGTGGCTCAGTTGGTTGGATCGTTGTCCCATGCACCAAAAAGCTGCAGGTTTGATTCCAGGTGAGAGCACATACCTAGGTTGCAGGTTCCATCCCCGGTGGGGGGACATATGGGAGGCAATTGATGTTTCTCATGTCAAAGTTTCTCTCCCTCTATTTTTCTCCCCTCCCTAAAAATAAATCAATTTTGTTAAAAAAAAAAAACATATACTTGGGTGAGAATTAAAAAAAAAGTTGCCTGGCTGGTGTGGCTCAGTGGATTAAGCACCAGCCTGCAAACTAAAAAGTCACTGGTGAGATTCCCTGTCAGGGCACATGCCTGGGTTGCAGGCCAGGTCCCCAGTTGGGGGCGCACAAGAGGCAACCGATCAACATCTCTCACACCAATGTTTCTCTCCCTCTTTTTCTCCCTCACTTCCCCTCTCTCTAAAAATAAATAAAATATTTTAAGAAAGTAGCTTATACATCATGTGATAGGAATCATCTAACCCCAGAAGATATATGGTAAGACCAATGACATATATATATATATATATATATATATATATATATATATATGAGCTTTTGTTTTACTTAATCTTACTTTAAAATGATACTCTCGTCAGAAGCAATGTTGAGTGGTAAGACCACAGATAATGGTTCTGGTAAAAGCATTATGGACAGCGAAAGTAAATCCATAACTAAAAGGAGCATCTACTCCACTGAGGACAAAGTGTTGTCCTTTCCGTGATGGAAGGGGTTCGGGTAATAAGTCTGCCTGTAAGAAACTCTTAGCCAATGGCTTCATAACAGTTGGTCAACATGGATCATTGCTTTTTGCAAGCTTGAATGGATTAGCACTGGCGACCCCTTGTAAAATATATTTGTACTTTGTACATGAGCCCACTGAGCAAGCATACAGGCGCTGGTAAGAGAGGCTGACACCTGGAGAGTGTTCGAGAGCCTCCTCTCCTGTGGACGCCCTCTGGGAAGCAAAAACACATAAAATGTGTTTGCACAGTCAAGGCTTCTACCGTCCAGTATTGTGTCAACTATATAACCACACATGGCTATTTAAATTTAAATTAATTAGAGTTCAGTAAAATTAAAAATTCAGTTCCTGAGACATACTAGCCACATTTCAGGTACTCAGTAGCCATGCATGTGTGGCTAGTGACTTCCATACCATATTGCGGAGTCCAGATATAGAACATTTCCATCACTGCAAAAAAATTCTGTTGGGCAGCATTTGCAGTTCTAGGCCCCTTTCCTACACCTCTTTTTCCCCAGCCCTCCAACATTATTCTTTCCAAATTCCAGATCATCCAGCCAAATTATTAAAAACTTTCTGTGAATTAATACAGGCCCATGCCTCTGGCCATCTCTCTTTCCAGGCAAAGTGAACACAGGCTCAGTGGATTAGACAATTGAGATTTCCCTTCCCACTGTTCTTATAAGGGCCACCCCTCAATAGGGTTATAATGCTGCATCAGTCCTATTTCAAGTGGTTGCAGCATATTGTACAGAACCGTATGTAAATCAGGCCTGAATATACTCCCTCAATGCACTGGTCATAGGGAACTCCCCACGAGGCCAAACGATGGGTTGAGAGAAGTGATAATGTAGTCAAAGTTAGTACCACTTGCTCACACAACTTTGTACCTCTAGGACCTGCTCAGGTTCTGTGTCTTACATAGCACTTCCGCTTGAAGATCGAATGCTGCTGCACATGCCCAGCTTCATGGCTTGGTGAATAACACAATGCCTAGTTTCAGCTCAGGTTACTTGATCACTTGATTTCTCATGGCTAAGCATTCAGTCTGCACCAGAGCCAAGTCACAAGCAAGAACCTTCCTTAAAAAGTGAAGAGCTATTATGGGCTTCACTCCCAAATCCTAAGGTGGAACTATCGCACTAAAGCTTGTCAAAGACTCCCTATAGTGTCCTTTTCCACCAGCAATCCAGTGAGCCACACCAGCCAGGGCAGATAACCAATCTTGAGCTTCCCATCTTTGAGAATCTGTTCGCTGGAGCCATTTCTAGAATCAGATACTTAATTAGTCAGGGTTAGGTCAGAAAAACAGCTTTCTCTTTATGTACTTCAAGCAGGAATACTTTTTATGTAGGGAATTAGATGCTTGCAAAACTACTTGAAATTCTGGTGAAGCGAAAGTTAAGGAAAAGAGCTGCAAGCTTTCAGGAAATCTGGAGGAGCAAAAATCATAGATTTTTTTATCTTTTCACTGGTGCCAGAACTGGAGCCACTATAAGCCTTTTCAGCAGAAAGGGTTTGTCAGTTTGCATTCCATCAACATCGTGCCTTTATTCAGCACACAATATTCTCATTTAAAAAAATGTTTTTCAGAATCTCAAGAGCAACCAGGAACTGTCAGAGAAGGTTTCTGGGTTGCAGCAGGAGAATGAAGCTCTATGTAAAGAATACGGGGAAGTTTTGAAGCAGTTTGATGCCTACATGAGGTAAACAAAAGCAAGTTCTCTTTGGAAGGGAAATTTTTGCTTTTCCCCAAGTACACCCTTCTCACTTGCCTTCAGACTTCCCCCTACCCGCACTGTTTTCTCCGGCCTGGACCACCCTCCCCTCATTTCAACTCTTCATTTCAACTCGTACTTCTTAGACTAGTAGTCGCCTGTCTCTTTCTTGACCCCACCTGCCCGGGCTGGGAGAAGTGTTCATTCTTTGTGTCCCTATGTCCCTTTGTACATGCCTCTCTGTACTCATTTAAAAACTTGCCATGTTGTTTTGAAATAATGTGATTTACTACCTGTCTCCCTCACCATACTGTAGGCTTTTAAGGGGTATGGGCCACCATCTCGCTCATCTTTTTATCCGTAGTTCCTGGTATATAGTAAGTGCACAGTAAAAATGTGTCTTCCTGAACTTCCTGCTCTTTCATTTCGTTTCCTGGTCATTATCCCACCACATTCCTCCCACTGTCCTCTCTGGAACGTAGCACAGTGGTTCAGCTATGGATTATGGGGCCATACTGCCTGGAGACAAATCTTGGTTCTATTAGAAACTAAAAACTGTGTGACCTTGGGTGAGTTATATAAACTCTGTGTCTCAGGTCCCTCATCTTTAAAGTGAGCAAAATAACAGTACTTATAAAGTTGTGAGAATTAAATGAATAAATGTATGTTTTAAAGTGTCTAGTACACAGCTTTTACTATACCCATTCATTTTTCATTTTTTTCTCCATGACCAACCTCTCTGCTCCCAGCTCTGTAACCTTCTATTTTATTCCTTTATAGACTGAGGTTTCTTATTCTTTTTTATTCTTACCTACTATGTTGATGATATTAATGATTATGACTTAAAAGCCATCGTTTATTGCTGTCTAGCAGAGAGTATTTTCAGAGTCATTAGTATTCATTATGTTGCTCTGATCATCCTATCACTGAGAAATATGAAAGTCATGGTCAAGGGAGTGTCTGTGCTTCAGTTCGCACTGCTGACAAATCTCAGACTGGAACTCAGTCCTCTAATAACCCATGCAGTGCTCTTTGTACATCAGAGGGAGGCAAGAGAATGAAATGCTACGTCTGGAGTATGTGAAATGCCACAATGCCCACCAAATGAACTGGTACTGAATCTGATATGTAATATATATAATACATAATACTGATATATGTTAGGTCAGTATCAGTCTCCAAAGGTAAAATACACTTGGTTTTTAGGGAGTTACATTTTCTTACTCATTTCACAGATAATAAAACAGCAATGCAAATTTTTGAATACAAAAAAAATTAGCCAGAATCCATCCCATGTTCACTCCTTGTTCTCTGTCAATGAACATAGTTTCCTAGTTTTATAATTTTACTATCATAGCTTAGATATAATTTTATATTCTTTCTTTTAATATCATGTCATAAGCATTGTGCCTTGTTGCTACGGTCTTTAAATTTGCTTATTTTTATAAAATACAACATGTCATAAAGTTGATACGCCCTTACACGAACAGCGCCCGCCAGTGAAACTGGGCTGGATAGCTGCCAAAGACTAGCAGAACCCCAGTGACCACGTTCACGGGCGTGCAGCTCATTGCAGGACAAGGACACAGCGTGGCAGCGGAATCAGAGTCAGGACACGCTTCGCAGCCCATGACTGTCTCTCAGCAGGTGATCAGAGCAGTTAGACAGGAGCCCCGAGGCCCGCCCTACAGACAGGCCATGCCTGGACACACCTCCTCTCTTGCGCCAAGACCACAGACACACTAAACGCCTCACAGCCAGCGGTCTCAAAATGGGATCTCAACTGAGATTTTAAAAATATTCTGCTGGCCATGTAAGTATATCTCTGCTAGGTAACCAGCCACAAGAGCAGGGCCTTCCTGGGGTCTCACTGAGGCCGGTTGCAAATCATCAGTCTCATTGTTATCAATGAACAGTGCTATCCAGCTGGTGCAAACTGTCATGAAACAACTTGGACTTGTGTTACAAAGCAATTCTATAATCAGTATTTTTGTTCCTTGACCAGTGGTCAGTGCCAAGCAAGAACTTCAGCAAAACTGCTCAGGGCAATTCTAGACCTGCTGGAGTCAAGCCTCACAACACAGTCCTCATTTAGTTTAAAATTACTTACTGTTCTATGATCGATATTTTTATTCAAAAATAACACAGAAAAACATTTTGGTACATATATTTTTCATTTTAAAATATGAGATTTCATTTAAAATTTCTTCTAAAAAAATTTTCATTTTAGAATGTACTCTAAATTTTTATAGAGTACATTCCCAGGAGTTGAATTAGTGGTCAAAAAGCTGGCTGCCATCGTTATGTTAAGAGTAGGCATTTCACCACATCCTCATTAGTACTGGGTGCCGCTATTGATGGAATTTTCCCAGTAGCCTTTGTTTTCATGGAGGTATAACTTACTTATAATAAATGCACAGATTTTAAATGTACAGTCTGATGAGTTTTGGCAAAAGTGTACACCGACATAACCACAACTTCGGTCACGATACAGAACATTTCCATCATCCCTTCAGGTTCTCTCCTACCTGCAGCGATCTATATCTCCTGCTCCCCAGCCTCCTCCCAGGCTGTTTCACTCTTCTGGTTTCTGTCTCTCCTACAACCATGCTGTCACAAATGGTAGGAGCTCCTTCTTTCTGCTGCATAGTATTCCATCGTGTAAATGTACCACAGTTTTTTGTTACACCCATTTACTGATGGGCACTTAAAATTGTTTCCAGCACTTGCCCATTATAAATAGCCCTGCTATGAACATAGGAGTGCATAAGTTCTTTTGATTTGGTGATTCAGTATTCTTAGGGTATATTCTCGGCAGCAGAATCGCTGGATCAAAAGGCAGTTCCATTTTTAGTTTTCTAAGGAAATTCCATACTGTTTTCCACAGTGGCTGCATTAGTCTGCATTCCCACCAACAGTGCACTAGGGTTCCCTTTTCTCCACATCCTTGCCAGCACTTGTTTGTTAATTTGTTGTTGTTTTTTTTTTAAGATTTTATTTATTTATCTTTAGAGGAGAAGGGAAGGAGAGAGGGGAGAAATCTTAGGTCTTGTCAAGGCATGTGCTGGGAAAATTGTATCCATGAGTAAGGGTTTATTGTAATGATGGCCATTCTGACCGATGTGAGGTACTATCTCATTGTGGTTTTAATTTGCATCTCTCTGGTGGCTGATGATGTTGAGCATCTTTTCATATATCTATGAGCCATGTGTATGTCCTCCTTGGAGAAGTGTCTATTCAGATCTTTTGCCCATTTTTTAAATTGGATTTTTTGTCTTTCTCGTGTTGAGTCATATGAGTTCTTTATATTTTGGTGATCAAACACTTGTCCAATGTATCGTTGACAAATATGTTCTCCCATACAGTCAGTTCCCTTTTCGTTTTGATGACAGTTTCTTTGTGTAGAAGATTTTTAATTTGATGAAGTCCTATTTATTTAATTTTCCTTTGGTTCCCTTGCGCTAGAAGATATGTTGGCAAAAATATTACTACATGGGATATCTGAAATTTTCAAATATTGTGTGTTCCTGCCTATCTTTCTTGAAGTCCTCCAAGATTTTCTTTATATACTTAGGTGCTCCTATATTGGTTGCATATGTGTTTACAAGGGTTATATCCTCCTGTTGCACTTTCCCTTGAGTATTATGTAGTGATTTTCTTTGCCCTTTTTTATGGCTTTTGTTTTGATATCTATTTTGTCTGATATAAGCATTGCTACCCCAACTTTCTTTTTGTGTGTTTCCTTGGAATATTTTTTCCATCCTTTCCCTTTCAACCTTTTTGTTCTGAGGTGGGTCTTTTGTAGACAGCATAAATGTGGGTAGTGTTTTTTTGGTTTTTTTAAATCAATTCTGCTAACCTATGTCTTTCTGTTGGGGCATTTAATCCATTTACGTTGATAGGTACTTATTCACGGACATTTTTTCTGTACCTGTGTTCCTCCTGATCTGGTTGCTCTAGGGTTTCCCTTTATTCTGTTTATGCAAACTTTCGTGTTATACTTGGGGTTACATTACTGATGGCTCATTTGTTGGTGGGTTCTTCCCTCCAGCGGCTGACTGGGAGTCACACTCCTGCCACATCTTGTGCACTGCTGTACAGGTGATGGTTAACAAAGCGGTACTGCCCAGAAAACCAAACCCACGGCAGCAAGAATACTCCCCTGCCACGTCAGCAATATTGATGGCAAATGAGCAAAGATTAATAAAGGTCGAAAGAGACTAAGAATATTGTAAGGTAGGGAACAGGGAATATGAGCTGACTAAAGGAGAGGGAAATGATTTTCAGTGGGAAGAGGGAGGAGAAATAATAAGAGTAAGGAATAGAAACAAGGCAAAGAAAATAAAATTTAAAACGTAAGTAAAACAGGAAAGGCAATGGAAAAATGGAATAAGAAAAAGGAAAAGTATAATATGAGGTTTGAAATAAAATTTAAAAGCTAGTGAACCAGAGGAAACAAAATTGCAGAAAAAAACACAACAGTGTCAGTAACAATGACAGCTGAGAAAAGATTGATAAAGGTTGAAGAGAATAAGAATGTTATACAAAAGAGAAAAGAGACTATGAGATGTCTACAGCAAAGGAAAATGATTTTGAGAGGATAGGCAAGGAGAAATAATAAAAGTAAGGAGTAGAATCCAGGCTAAGAAAGGGAAGAAAATAAAATTCCAAACTCAAATCGGCAAAGGCAGGAGGAAGGCAAAATGGAGTAAGACAGGGGGAGAATAACCTATGAGATTTAAAAATTTTTTAAATAGTGAGTAAATAGGAATACAGTTGAAGAAGAAGAGAAATAACCATAATATCCATGCCAAGCAAGACACAATTTATAAAGGTGGCACAATCTGGAAAGAAAATGAGAATATTATAAGGAGGGGGAAAAGAATGTGAGCTGACTGAACAAGGAAGACTGCTTTTGAGAGGATAGAGGGAGGAGCAATGATAAGAGTAGGAAATAGGAACAAGGCATAGCGTGGGGAGGAATAAAATTCACAACAAAAACAAGAAAGAGAAGGTAGAAAAGGCAAAATGGGGTGAGACAAGGGAAGGATACAATATGAGATTTCAAATACCAGTAAAATAAAAACTAATATAAAATCTCAGTTAAAAAATAAAAAGTAAAGAGCAATAGTGAATTAGTTGGAATATAATGGAAGCAAGAGAGGAGATATTAAGAAGCTACACAAAAGGAAGAAAAAAACCACAAATTCTAAAGAACAACAAGGTAGAATTCATCTCAGCAGTTTGGGGTTTGCCTTCTGTCTTCTCTTTCTGGGTTCACCTCTGGATTTTTATCAGCTCAAGGTCCCTGGTGGGTCATCCAACTTCTGGCAACACCGCCTGTCTCATCTTCACTTGCCTCTAGGGGGGGCTTCTGTTGCAATTGGGAGGGTGGGACCCCTGGGTCTCTCCAGGGAGAGACACCGTTCAGTACTGACTTCCTGGGAAAAGAAGACTGAACAGTGGGTGTGTTCTCTTTGCCCCTGCACCGCCCATCTTGGTCTGTCCCAGCTTATTTCCAGTAATGTGTAGTTTCTGGTGAACTAGCTGTTTCAAGGGAGGGGCCAATTTGCATAAGAGAGTTAGCTCTTTCCTGCTTGGTGCTGATGGCAGCTCTGTGTGTGAGCCAAGGTTGGGCGGGACCCTGATTCCCCCTAGCTGCACTGATTTCTAATCTCCCAGCTTTGCTGACCCCAGTAAAATAGGGCCCTAGGAACCAGTGTATTTGTCTCCCTGAGAGAAGTTCAAAATGGATCCTTTAGGTATTTCTCTTTCTGTCTTTCTCTTGCAGATATGCACCCTGCAGGGGGTTGTTAAGCCTGTCCAGCCTGTTTTTCAGAGCTTCCCTGTTGGTGGTGCTTTCATCCTATGAAGATGGAGGCTGGATCTCCACCAGGGAAGGGGGATCTGTCCAGCTGTAACTAATCTCAGGTGCTCAACCCCTGCCCATCCAGCTCCCAGCCCACTGCCCTTGCAGCAGACAGAGTCCTGAACTCTCCACTCTGTGCAGCTTCTGAGCAGGGTCCACCCTGCCAGCTGTTTGGGGCTGGGGCTGAGAAATCCCCTTGCTGTGCACCTTTCTGATTTCTCTGCCCAGATTCAGTGGGAACAAACTGCACTCTCAGTCCTTTCCCCTTGTTGGCAGGGCAGCTGCGCACAGGGTCCCTGTCCAGCACGCCTTAGCTCCCCTTTTAGAAAGTCTCTCTGGGCACTCCCACTGCAGCACCAAGTCACTTTCCAGCTTTCTATACGTACACACTACTCCAGAAAAGCCAAAAGTCTCTTCCAGCCGTGGCTGGCTGCAGCCTGCCTCCACTACCCAACCCAAGTGCAGACAGAATCCCTCTCCCTCTCTCTCTCTGGCGTTCTCCCAGGTGGCGTTTGCTGCTGCAGCTATGGGCGTGCTGCTCACTATGAGTGTGTGTCTGTGTAGCCTGGATCTCCTTGATTTTGTGTATCCAAGTCACTCGCAGCCTGGGCCTGGGGGTTCCCTGCCCTGAGAGGGGAGGGAGCCACAAAGCTGCGGTCTCTCACCAGGCTCTCCATGGCTGAGGTGCCACACACCAGGTATTTCCCCTTCCACCTATAAAATCTCCTTACCGCCTTTTGGGAAGTGTCTTCTATACTCCTTGGCCTCCAAACTTCCTTTCAGCTAAGATTCTGTTGAATGTTCGACTTATTTTTTGAAGATTAGCCAAGTATCTGAGTTGGGGGCAAGAGCAAATGGACTCAGCTTCTGCCTACTTAGCTGCCATCTTCTTCAAAATCTCCTTTTAAGACTAAGTAATGTTCCATTGTATGTCTTTTAAGACTAAGTAATGTTCCATTGTATGTATACACTGCATGTTGTTTATTTATTCATTAGTGGATGGAAATGTGGGTTGTTTCCACCTTTTGGCTATTCTGAATAGTGTTGCTATGAACATTCGTATACAGGTTTTTGTGTGGATATGTGTTTTCATTTCTCTTGGAATTCCTCTAGGAGTGGATTGCTGGGTCATATGACTCTGTGTTTAACCATTTGAGGAGCTGCCAGGCTTTTTCCAAAGACGCTGAACCACTTGACCTTCCTACCAGTAGTGTATGAGAGTTCCAGTCTCACCACATCCTTGTCAGCACTCCTTATTCTCTTTCTTTTTATTTTAGCCATCCTAGTGGGTGTGAAGTTATATCTCATTTATAGTTTCCATTTGCATTTTGTTACTAGCTCATAAAGTTGAACATCTTTTCATGTGCTTATTGGCAGTAAGTCAGTTTACGTCAGAATCAGAGTAGAGACCTATGTAGAACTGACATTTATAAGTCTAGCCCCAAGGCACGGACTGAGAACAGACCCAGTTATCTGGGAAATAGACAAGACTGAAGTGGGTTATATTAGTATACAAGGGTGTAGCCAAGAAACAGAAAACTTAAAATTAATGACTGAATCAGCGGATCAAGGATCAGAAATCAAGGAGTTTCCCAAATTAAACTTGGTTGCTAAAGCTATGCTACACTCAGCAGCTCAAAACCAAGAGAAGCCAGAGACTCGAGTCCACGGCCATGACTAAAAGCCGGTGTTCTGTAGGAGGTTATCCCCGTCTGGTGCCAGGCCCTGACGCAGCAAGAAGAGGACACTGAGGAAGGTGTATGTGGAGGAAGCAAAATAAATTTCCACTGTCCGAGTGTGCCTGTAATTTAAATTTATCTTTGCAGAATCTATAATAAAAAATGTCATCATCGTGAAACCAAGCTTCACAGAGTCAAGAGTCATTTCATGAATGAAGTAGAGCTACGCGATAAGAGAATTAACCTACTTGAAAATGAAATTGGAATACTGCGGCAAAAGTTAGAAAAGGTGAGAAACAAAAAAGGGGAAAGCTCACTGATGATGCTGATGGTCAGTCGTTTAGAGAAAGCCCACTCATTTTTAAAATTTATTTGTGGTCTCTTCATTGTTCACGTCTTTTCTTTGCACCTTTTTTCAATGTGCATAATTGCTTAAGCCCCGCCAGAAAGGATTTAAGACTCACAATGATGCTAAACCAAACTGGACTCTGATTATACTCTGCACTGCCAGCTTATAATTAGTGTCTTGCCTTCGTGGGAAAAAATGTCTTTTCTTAAACACCCTTCAGTAAAGACTTCCACAACACCGTCAGTAACTTATTCCTACTTTTTATAAGCCCTCATTTTGCCTCAAACGTCTATCGGGTTTTTTTTTTGTTTTTTTAATTTATCTTTAGAGGGGAAGGGAAGGAGAAAGGGAGAGAAACATCAATGTACGGTTGCCCTTTGCGCATCCCCTGCTGGGAACTGGCCCGCTGGGAACTGGCCTGCAACCCAGGCACGTGCCCTGACCGGGAATCAAACCGCGATTGTGTGGTTCACAGGCCCGAGCTCAATCCACTGAGCTACACCAGCCAGGGCACATCTGTCGGTTTTAAATGGCAACGAAGGTAGGTGATCCCTATTCCATTATCAATTCTTAACTAGTGCCTTCAGGCTTATTGCTAAATATCTATCATTTCTTTCTGTTTGCCTTATGCCATTGTGACTTACTGGTATGTGTCTACACATGGGCAGAATACAATGCCGAATGGTGTTGAGATTATTAAACACAAATTCAAAATGGAGAGCAACAGACTCAGCCAGTGATGTGTTTCCCTCTTGAAATCCCTAGCCAATCTCAGAATTTTGAAAACTCTGTCCTCATTCCTAAAGTACTCTTTTGTATCCCCAGCACATTTTTACACTACCACCTCTCCATGCCAAGGATACCGAAGTAATTCGTGCCATTCCACTTGTTGCATGGGCTATGGACTCCGGGTTAAGAATCCCTCCATTACACACAATTTAGTGAACTCTAGCTAAATCCAGCATGACTACCGTCCTTATAAGACAAGACACAGACATGCACAGGGGAGGAAGGCCACGTGACAGTGGGGCGGAGATTGGAGCGCTGAAGCTACAAGCCAAGGGACCCCAAGGATTGCCAACAAGCACCAGCTAGAAAGGGGGCATAGAAAAAAACCCTCCCTCAGAAGCCCCGGAAGAAACTAATTCTGCCAACAATTATTTTAAATTTTTATTTATTGATCTTTTAGATTAATGGAGAAACACTGATTTGTTGTAATGCTTATTTATGCATACATTGGCCCATGCCTGTATGTGCCCTGTCTGAGGATTGAACCATAACCTTGGTGTATTGTGGCAACTCTCCAACCAACTGAGCTACCCAGCCAAGGCCCAGCATTTTTATTTTAGATTTCTAGTCTCCAGACTGTGAGAAAAAGAAATTAATTTTGGTTTTTTTTGTTTTGGGTTTTTTTAATATTGTATTTATTTTTAGACAGAGGGGAAGGGAGGGAGAAAAACAGGGAAACACCAATGTATGGTTGCCCCTCAAGCGCCTCCCACTGGGGACCTGGCCTGCAACCCAGGCATGCGCCCTGACTGGGAATTGCACTGGAGACCCTTTGATTCTCAGGCTGGCGCTCAGTCCACTGACCCACACCAGCCAGGGCAAATTACTGTTGTTTTAATCCTCCTAATAGTACCTGTGTATCATTTTCCTCACCCGTGAAATAAGGGAAATAAATCCCTACTTCACCATGCTTTTGTGAAGATTAAAATATGAAATGCCTAAAGTGGTTCCTGGCACATCCACTTCTTGTAGCCTTCTTCTTGGAATAAAATCTCAGAAGCATGTGAATCAGTGGATGCATAGTTCACAAGAGAAATTGCTACTGGAGTTGGAAACAGCTTCGAGAAGACCCACAGTGGTGCAAACCCAGTGGTTCAGACCTTACTTATTTTGGAGCCCATGGACCAGAGTCCTGAGCCTGGAAAAGCTGGGCTCACTAAGCACCATGTCTCCAGAAGATAATGCCAGGTTTTGGAGGTTTGGGGGGAGCTTCATTCTTCAGCTTTCTCTACATACAGTGAGCCAGTTGAGTTCTCTGACCGTTGTGACCATCCAAACCAGATTTCCTTAAATATTTTGTCCTTAATAGAGCAGGTGTCCTTATTTTGGGGTTCAAAGAAATACGGTATTTCCAAAGGCCAAGGTGTCAGTAGCCTGCCCATGCAATTTCCTTTCCAATCCAGTTATAACTGCATAGAGGATTCCTTGTGGGGTGGCCCCTTCTATTCTCAATGCTGACCATAAATATATTTGAATAATACCAGGGGGGACTCTTGTTAGACATTGAAGGGTCCTGGGTGAAAGATTTCAAAATCTGGAATGGTTTGTTTCAGAACGTGATGTAATCTCCTTCCTCTTTCTTCTTTTCTTTTTTTTTTTTTGAGATATAATTGACATATAAAATTATATTTGTTTTCGTTGTACAACATAATGATTCTCTATTTTGTATATATTACAAAATGGTCCCCACAATAAGTCCAGTTAACAGCCATCACCATACACTGTTGTAAGTTTTTTCCTGTGATAAGAACTTTAAAATTTTTTCTCTCTTGGCAACTTTGAAATATAAAATACAGTACTATTAACAGTCTTTATGTTATGTATAGGTGCATTACATCTCCATGACTTACTTACTTTGTAATTGGAATTTTGTACCTTTTGACTCCCCGCACCCATTCTGCCCACCTTCCATCCGACATCTCTGGCAACCACCGTTTGTTCTCTGTATCTGAGTCTTTTTCTTTTTTAGTTTGAGATTCCACATATATGGGCAGTCTTTTCTGAATGCTCTATAGCCGTCTATTGTTTCAGAGACAGAAAACTGCCCGCCTTCACCCTGCGATTCACCCCTCTGCCAGGGATCATTCTTCTGCCCCTCCCAGCGCTGGCGGGTGAGGAGCACCCAGGAAATGGTGGAAGTACCTGCCTGCTGCTGTTGACGAGTGACTGGTTAAATGAGGAGCATTCAACCGTTTTGAGCTTCTAACTCAATAACAGTGATATTTACTAATATCTACTGACTCGCTATAAGAATATCAGTGGGTTATTTTCCAAAAAAAATACACTCCTTTATCAGTTTAGCTCTAACTTTACTAGCTGTTGTGTTCAGTTTCCCCTGAAACTGTTGGTAGGAAATGAAACATGGCGTCCAGTTGGAAATGGTGTGAGCGTCGTCATTGCAAGCATACTGTACCGTTGGTGCCCGGCTGAAATGCTTGGCTTGCCAAGGCAACTGAGATCCCAACACCCGCTGCCAAGGCAGGGGGCTGAATTCCCATTCTCCTCTCCCTACCTTAAAAAGAACTGTAACTATGAAGCATATGGAAATGTACTGCATTTAATTTTTCTTTCAATGTAGAGCTTCAGAGAATTCAGTTGTATTTGTCAGTGATTTGATACTTACAGAGTATGAATACAGGTGAGGTCATTGGGACCTTATTAGAAGTTGAGTGTGCGGATATTTTTAAATGTTAACCCAAAAGAATGAGTAATTATCCAAATGAAGCACATGACATAAGTAACCAAAATATAGAGAAGAACAATCTAACTGACAACGTCAGCAAACGTGAAAACAGCCTGGACGACCAGGGAGAAAAAAATAAATAAGGGAAATTTGCTATTGGATTTACAAACAGGCTGATGTTCTTAAACTGATCATTTCTCCTGCCGTGCTAACTAGGGGGCTTTTGCTTTCATCCCTAGGAGAAGGCATTCCAGGACCAGATCGTTGCCCAAAACGATAACCTGTTCCTGGAAAACAGAAAACTTCTGGAGCAGCTTGTGGAGCAGGAAAAACTGATCCATGACAACAAGTGCACGATCTCTTCAGTCCAGCACAGGTAGGTAAGGTCCTGCCAGAGTGGCCAGTGAATGGCGAAGGAGATGTCTCTCCCTCAGCGAAGAGCTGGTTCCAGAGACTGTCCTTTGAGCTGGGGGCCTATCTCATAACTGTTGCTCGGCCACCCACTGTTTTCAGCAGTGTGTACAAATGGCAGAAGTTGTGAAGTTAGAGAGGAAAACATCACGGAGAAGATGGCGCGTTGCCTCCTAGAGGACCGGGCTGGGCTCATTCTGGCCTGTCACTATGTATGCGGACACTCATTTTTATCATTTTATACCTATGGAATCAAGGTAGACCAAGAGAGATTCAGGTTTGTACTAGGGACTTAAATTCACAAACCCCACAGGGTCCCAATGCATTCATTTGTAAGGAAAATATTCCCAGCAGATAAGAATTCACACATCAGCCAGCCCAACAAGCATTCTCTCCCCTATAGAAAACTTTAATTATAATCAAAAGTTTTCTCAGAGCACAGACTTAGAGCAAAGAGAATGGGTTGATTTTAACAAACAGTATCACCGATAGTACCTGTAGTAATTAACACTTTTTTGAGCACTTACTATATGCAAGGCACTGTTCTAAGTTCTCTCTATGTATATTCATTTAACTTTCACACCACTCCCAGGTGGGAGACACTATTACAGCCTTATTTTACAGGTGAGAAGCTGAGGTCCAGATCACTTAGGGAACTCACCCAGCCTGTGAGTGTCTCAGCAGCCCTATCCCAGACCCCATGGCTCTGCAGTCTGGGGAGAGAGCTGCCAAGCAGACTGGAACTTTCCTTTCTACTGATTTGGGTACATGCTCCTCTGGGCAGACCTGGAGGGTCTCTGATTGTCCTTTATTATCTGTATCTCGCCTTTAATATATTCTGTATAATTCATTGCCCTTATTAAACTATGTCACTGCTTCTGGTAGTTGCAACATGATTGACTCGGTTACCCTTGCCTTAATTAATAGTGTTCCTGCCTTGGCCTCCTAAAGACACACTCTGGCCACCAGAATTTGACTTATGTTTTCCCTGGAGTAAGTTTCTTCTACAGGATGTTTCCTCATTTCGCAGATGAGGAAACAGGCTCAGACTCAGTCATTTGCCAAGGTCACACAGCTAGTTAGTGGCAGGACCAGATGTCAAACACAAACTTGTGATCGAAACTACTGTGCTGTGACGTGTCCCACATACACTGTAGCCCTGGAGAGTGGGCTGCCGTAGCAGTCAGGCGCTAGGGGTTTAGAAATCGGAACCTTCCGGGCGGGCGTGCTAGCTTCCCAGCTTTCTGGTTTGATCTTCTTACACAAGTTACTTCCCTCTCTCTAAGTTTCAGTTTCCTCGCCTGTAAAATAGGCTTCATAACAATATCTGTTTTATGGGGCTGTTGTGAGGATTAAATGAGCCACTGCATGAAACGTTTGAAGTGCTTTCTGTGTGGCGAGGTTACATATCTAAGTAGACGGTAAGTGCTCGGCCGGTGGTTGCTGCCGCTGCTGATGTATGGGGTGCCCGGCTGAGGTCGGAATCTGGCGCAGGCTGTGTAGCCGCTGCGTTTGAACGGATGCAGTGTCTCTTTTTCCAGCTCCACCCCTAAATGGGATCATACCCTTCCTGAAGTGACTCGAGGGTCTAGAACTATTCCTTCCTCCATTTGTGCATAGTATGTCTCTGTTCTCAGGAGGTACTGAATGACTCCGTACAGGCCAGAAGCTTATTAATTTTTACCTGGTCTGCCAAAGTCAGTTCTAAAATGTGGACAGGAGGCTAAGGCTCAGAGCTAGTGGGAAGTGGGACATAGTTTTGAGTTTTTTAGTAATAATGTAGAATTTTTTCATCATTCCTCTGATTTGTCCCATTCTTAGAGTACTTTCTCTGGATAAAGAAAATAAGCAATTACAGGAAAACAGTCTCCGGCTCATGGAGCAGGTTGGCCTCTTGGAGCGCATTGTAAGAAGCATCCAGATTTGCAGAGGAGAGGTAAGAAGTGTGCTTCCTATTAGGTGTTTAATATGAAATTTAGATTGTTATGATTGCTCCATTCTCTCTTCCCTTCATCTTCTTCATATACCTGTGGCCTGAACTTGGCCCCATGGTGGACTGTGGCAAAGAGGCTCAGCGGCTGCACACTGGGCAGCAGACCCAGAGTCTGCTCTTGGCCCACTTTGCTCTTCATTGGGTCATATTTTATTAAACATTTTTCTTCTGTGTGGTCCCAGGGCAATTCATGTGTGCCTCGTAACTTCTTCCTTAACACTGTATGGTCAATGCCTTTTGACTTCTCTCTCTAATCAACTCAGCGGTGAGATCCCAGAGGGCAGGATCGTACCTCATGTGTCATTGTATCTATGCACAGGTGGCCCATAAATATTTGAGAATGAATGAATGTTACATGTTTTCACACATAAGCCTCATTCTCAACAACCTGTCTGCCATGTATTTTTCCAGCCCAATTTGAGAGATGAGCACATTAGAAGTTCAGAGAGGTAAGGTGAAGCTGGTCTGGCCTGGCAAAGGGTCAGGCCTAAGGATAATATCTGAGTCGGAAGAAAAAGCAATTGTGTTACAAAAATCCAAGCAGATAAGTACTGTAGGTTCAGACATGGTCAAGAGTCTGGTTGGTGAGTGAGTCAGCAAGAGGAACTTCAGTGAGTGGAGTTGCATTTTAAATCCAGGATAGAGGCTGCTTGCTTTCTTCCCGGCATGTATCACATGCTAGATGTTTCTTCCCAGAATACTTATAGTTTTTTCCCTAGTCATGAAACTTTAAGCCCTGGCTGGTATGGCTCAGTGGGCTGAGAGCCCATCTGTGAACTGAAAGGTCGCCGGTTCGATGCTCAGTCAGGGCACGTGCCTGGGTTGCGAGCCAGGTCCCCAGTTGGGTGCATGTGAGAGGCAACCAATGGATGTTTCTCTCGCATATTTATGTTTCTCTCCTTCTTTTTCTGCCTTCCTTCCCCTCTCTTTACAAATAAATAAATAAAAGCTTTTTAAAAACTTTAAGATCTACTCTTTTAACAACTTTCAAATACACAAACATACAGTATTGTTAATGATAGTCGCCATGTTCTACATTACCTCCCAGAATTTATCTTATAGCTGGAAGTGTGCATCTTTTAACCACCCTGGCCTAATTCCCCCACACTCCACCTCTAGCAACCACAGATCTTACCTCTGTCTGTAGGAGTTTTTGTAGATTCCACATATAACTGGGATCATATGGTATTTGTCATTACTTAGCATACTGTCCTTAAAGTCCATCCATGTCCTCACAAGTGGCAGGATTTCCTTCTTCCTTAAGGGCCGACTAATAGTATATATTGTGTGTATTTAACAGTTTCTTTGTCCATTCCTCCCTAGTGCATGCTCGGGTTGCTCCCATGTCTTGGGTATTGTGAACAGCGCTGCAGTGAACATGGGGTGGAGATATGTCTTCAGGGTAGTGATTTGGTTTCCCTTAGATAAATACCCAGAAGGTGAATTGCTGGATCACACGGTAGTTCTATTTTTAATTCATGAGGAACTTCTATACCGTTTTCCACAGTAGCTGCACCAGTTTATACTCCCACCAGTAGTGCCCAAGGGTTCCCTTTTCTCCACATCCTCACCAGCATTTATTACCTCTCTCTCTCAATCTTTCTCTCTCTTTTTTTTATGATAGTCCTTCTAACATTACATTTTTTATCAAATATGTAAAGCCTCATTCTAGGATCACAGTGCTAATGGTTTATTATTAAAAATTTTTAAGTCATCTTTTTTTTCCGTTTAGGAAATAATACTTGGTAGCATCTCTGAATATGAAGTATTGAATAAAATCCTGCCCCTACCAAACTCCAGGTCAGTAAGTCAAGACAATCATCTGAACAGCTGAGAGCCACAGCTGCCTAGCCAGTCGTGAGTCACTGACTTGGGAAAGCATAGCATTCAGGGGTCATTTTCTCCATCTGTAGTATTAAAACCTTCCAGTGCCTTCTCCTCTCACCACTGCTTCACACCCACACCTGATATAGAATCCTGACTCACGGTAGAAGATAACCCACAAACATAAATTTAAGATAATTTTATTTGGCTGTTTTGACAGATGTGTTTGACAGTTGTGAAAACCGAAATCCTATTGAGCCTTATCCCTGTAACTCCAAAATGGTGCCAAGAGACCCCATCCACGTGAAGTCCTCACACGGGTCCTTTTTTAGTCTTTCTGGCACAGGTTTGGTAGAGTCCGTCGGAAGTCCGTAAGGGACTAAAGAACACACGTCAGAAGCAGTGGCACACCTCCGGCCCCTCGAGTCTCCGCTGCTCACAGAGCCCTGAAGCTGGATGCATACGTACACGTGGCTTCTCTGAAAGAGACACGTCACATCTAAGACTAGCCTGGTCAAAGCTGCTAACTTCAAGCTCGTGAGAGTGAGGGTGGAACCTGATGACAGGGAGCAGGGTCATGATAGAGTCCCCACAGGTCATCAACCAGGAGTCTTGAAAATTGCTGATAAATTCATTAAACCAGATCCCAAAATTGATGTCTCAAGTTTGTCTGATATCCTCAGTGACTTGTATTGAGCAACATAGTGACTTAAGTTGGGTGGTTTAATTGGGTTTATGTTCAGTAGAACACACACATGGCTAATTCCATATCCTTTCCTATTTTCATGGGTATAAGTTAAAACAATGTAATCACATTAAAGCAAACATTTTAAAAAGAAAAAAACTGTCCTACAAACCCACGATCTCAACACTACTGTTTTCCTTTTGGAGTTATTCCCTTCTGGTTCTTACTCAAAGTCACATATTTTAATTGGTTATTATATTGTATTTTCATAGTCTGATTTTTCATTTAATATACCACAAAACCCATTCCCATATTTAAACTCTCCATAATTATTCTTTCAATAGCCGTGTGATATTGTATCATGTTGATGTTCTACACATTCTCTTGTTATTTGACATCCAACTATTTATAGATCGTGCTGCAGTGAAAGTCTTTGTGAAGTTAACTCTTTCTTCTCTTAAACTAATCCAGAAACAAATTCACAAGATTGGCATAATTGTGTCAAAGGATATAAATGTTATATAGTGTGGGTACACACTTGTCTCATTGCTTTAAAAAAGCTCGTGTCAACACATGACTTATGAGCCTCAATCTCTTGATACATATAATGGGAACAACAGTAGCTCCTATCCCATAGGGTTGTGAGGGCCAAACGAAATGAAGCATATGTTCTGCACTGAGTAACTGCTTAACCAATGCTAGATATCTTTATTTATTTTCACTTGCAGTTTGAGTGTACTAGTTTTTCTACAGTCTCATCAACATTGTATATTAACAATTTAAAAATGTATTCTGAAATAGTTGGTATAAAACTCTACTGAAGGGTGATTCCTTCTGCTCCTTTTTCCCTTCCTCCTCTTTTCCTTCCTTATTCTCCTTCTCTTCTTTCTTCATCTTCAGTTGGAGATAGAGAGGGAGACCAAGGGGAGAGGGGGAAGAACACGAATAAAGGAGACCCCGTAAGTTGACACACACTGAGTGTTTACGTGCAAGCCCTGCCTCCTCAGACCACTGGAGACGATCACAGGTTACAGGGAACAAGAGCAGTGATTCTGAATGCACGCTCTGACTCCAAACCTTGCCCACATTTACTTTCTTTCACGCAATTCACTGACCCCATTAATTGAATCCCTACTGTGTACTATTCAATACTTGGCACTGTAGCCATACCTGTGAAAACAGACAAAGTCTCTGCCTTCATAATTAATATACTATTAGTTTGGAAGGTATATGTTTGTGTGGCAGAGGGTGAGGTGGAGAGACTGACCATATAATTTTGGATGATGGATGGCATGAAGAAAATAAATCACTGACACATCTGAATAAGTGACTGAGGGCTACTTTAGATTGGGTGCAATGTTCCCATCTGAGTGGCATCTGAGCCAAGACCTGAACTACAAGGAACACTCCCCACCCCCATTAAGACCTAGAAGAGTATTAAAGACAGTTAACAGCTAGTACCAAGACCCTTAAAAGGGTACAGAAGTCCCTCTTATCTGAGGAGGATATAGTCCAAAACCCCCAGTGGATGCCTGAAACCACAACTGGTACTGAACCCTGTATCCTACTATGTATACTCCGTTCTAGACATACACGCCTGTAATAAATAAGGCACAGCAAGACATTAACAATAGTAATAAAATAGAACAATTATAACAATATCCTGTAATGAAAGTTATGTGCATGTGGTCTCAGAATATCTTGTACTGTACCCACCCTTCTTGTAATGATGTGAGACGAGGCAATGCCTACGTGATGAGATGAAGCAGGGTGAATGGCATAGGCCTTGTGGCACAGCTGGAACACAAGTACTGTGATACCCTGACAGTTGATCTGATAACCGAGACACCTACTAGGTGACTAATGGGCAGGTAGCATATACAGTATGGATGTGCTGGACAAAGGGATGACTCACATCCTAAGTGTGCAATTTAAAACTTATGAATTGCTTATTTCTGAAGTTTTTCATTTATTTTAATGAACATAAATTAATATTCACACTCTATATGCTACCTGCCCATTAGTCACTTAGTAGAAGTCTTATCAGATCAGCTGTCAGACTGTAGGTTGACAGCAGTCAACCAAAAGGAGGAAGGTGGAAACTCAGATAAGTGGTAACTGATGTATCCATTCATGACAGAAAGCCCGCAGTATAGTAGCTGAGGACAAGTATTGGGTTGGCCAAAAAGTTCACTTGGTTTTCTCTGTATGATGATTCTAGTAGTGCTTAGTTGTCTTTAACTTCATTCATTAGAACAATTTTGTTAGATTGTATTGTGACAGCTGTCAATCAGGGTGCATTTTAAAACATCAGAATTAGTGAATTCTTGTACAGCCATTTTAATATTGAAGATGAAAGAAAATATGCAACATTTTTGGTGTATTATGCTTCGTTATTTCAAGAAAAGTAAAAATGCAACTGAAACATAAAAAACCTATGCAGTATATAGAGAAGGTGCAAACACGTCAAAAGAGGTTTGTGGCCCTGGCTGGTGGGGCTCAGTGGACTGTGGGCCAGCATGTGAACTGAAGGGTCGTTGGTTTGATTCCCAGTCAGGGCACAAACCTGGGTTTCAAGCCAGGTCCCCAGTTGGAGGCACATGAGAGGCAACCACAAATTGATGTTTCTCCCTCCCTTTCCCCTCTCTATAAACAAGCAAACAAACATTCTTTAAAAAGTGGTTTGTGGAGATTCTTGGTACTATTGATGTTTTGGCCAAGTCTTTTGCATTGCAAGATGGTTAGCAGCACCCCTGGCCTCTATCCACTAGAAGCCAATAGTGGGAGATAGTCAACATACTCAAAATATCCAAATCAACCAAGTTATTGGTGAAAATGAAAAATGTCTTTTATTTTATAGAAAAAACTGAACAGACTTTATGGCCAACCCAATAACACAAGATTAGGCCAAGATGAGGCAGCCAAATAATGTAATGTAGACCTCAGTAGGTAAGCAATTGGATTTTATTCTACATACAGAAGCCAGGAGTGATTTATAAGCAGATTTATTTTACAAGCTCCAGCCACTCTGCTTGAAATGAATTGGGAGTGACAAAAATGGAAGCTTGTGACAGAACTGGAACAAAAATTTTACTGCACTGATTTCAAAGAAGGGCCGAGTATTTACTGAACACACCTTATGTGCCTGGCTGTTCTAACCTCAGAGGAACAAGAGTTCATGCCTTCTGGGGCTGACTAGTGGGGAGGGCTAAGAAGCAGCAGGGTGTGATGGTTCAGGTATTAGCTGCAAGAGCTAATGAGTACCCTGGAGACTGTCCAAAACAAACTTCCTAGCCTGACCAAGAATAATTTGTATTTAGTGGGGTCACGTGAGTGGGATGTCCCTTCATTCTGAAAAAAGAAGAAAAAAAGGCCAGGTATTTCTCCTCTTCCCCAACTCCTCCACTTTCACCACATCGCCCGCGTCCTCCCTCCGGCCGCAACTCCCCACTCCCGTTTCCCGGGAAAGTCGAGAGAACTAAGGGCTTGTAGACGTCTCACAACCACCAGAGGACCAAGCGCTGGCCACCGCAGTGGTTCACTGAAAAAAAAAAAAAAATCTTCCACTTTCCGCACGGAAACAAGTGAACCTTCGGTACTGAGGGCAATGCGGGGGTGTGCCGGGACTTCCGGAGGCGGGGCCCAGTCTCGGTTGGCTCTCCCCGCGCCTGCGCGGGAAACCAAACGGGATGCTGGTGTTAGTTTCGCCGGAACCTCGCTCTCTTGGCTTCTGCTTCCGGGTCGGAGCCATGGCGGTGGCAAATTCAAGCCCTGTCAACCCCGTGGTGTTCTTTGATGTCAGCATTGGCGGCCAGGTGAGGTCCAGCAAGCCACCCAGCCATGCACCAAAGGGAAACTGCAAGAGGCCAGGCAGGCAGAACTCACCCGCCCAGGGGTAGCGGGCTCGGGAAGCTAGAAAGTGAATTTGGTCCAGAACCTACCGACCTGTGGGGCGTGGTGAGCGTGAGTAGGATGGAGAGCTTTGCTCTTATCTCGCATCCTAGCGCCCTGCTAGTGGAAGGTCTGGACGGAACAGAAGGATAGGCAAAGGAGGCGGAGGTGGGAGAGATCAAGTACATGTGGGAGGGAGGGGTCAGCCCTTCACGGTCCCTGCTCCGTGAGACCTCCACGGTCTTGGACCGGACCTTATGACTGTCTCCCGCCGGTTGCAGGAAGTTGGCCGTATGAAGATCGAGCTCTTTGCTGACGTTGTGCCTAAGACAGCCGAGAACTTTAGGTAAGGTGCACCAGCTCTGCCGGATTATATATTCCAGTTTTGTCGTATTAACCGAACCAGAACTCATCCTGTGGAATCGTCAGCCTACCTCTGTCCGTCCAGTCACTGCCCTTGAGATCGTATTCTTCTGGGTGTTGCTCTGTCTGAACGGTCACGTTTTGACACCCTCATGTCTATTTACGTTGTTAATCTGAATGCCTGGGGGCCTGGACATCTAGCTGGCCGGTTGATGGGCTTGCTGTTTGCAATGTTGGTGCTCTCCCCTCTGGAGGTTAGGGGCACTCACAGCTGTGATGTCACGGTGACTGAGTCCCTCGCTCTTTTCCCTTTCAGGCAGTTCTGCACTGGAGAATTCAGGTGAGTCTCAAACGTGGTTGACTTATCTGCTTGTTCCTGAGGGGTGTCCTGGGGCTGCACTGAGAGTACTGGGGGACCACCATAGGCCTTGAATGATTGCTGGTGACAGTAATAGAACGTATTACCCCGAGGGTATTCATCTGAATTCTATCTTCATCTCGCTTGTCCTGGCCACCTTTAGGAGAATCACTTGGAGTCAAATATGTGGTAAACTGGAAAGGCTTGTTACCTGTGATCATAGCAAATTTATTTCTGTTTGGCTGTAGGAAAGATGGGGTTCCTATAGGATACAAAGGAAGCACTTTCCACAGGTAAGGCCAAGGCAAACCCTTGGGGCTTTTAGAATTACTTCCTTGGGGGATTTCCTCTAGAGGAAAGTGAAACCATACGATACTTCTTAGATCTTGAAAAAGAATGTTTTTGTGAACTCAAGGATTGATTGGAAGATTTCTTAAAAGTCCAAGTGATAAACATTGTATTTTGAAATCAATGTTAATCTAAACTACAATGAGTAAATCATTGTTTTCCTAAACCAGAGTCTTATCTCAGAATCCTTTGTTCTCTGTTTCAGGGTCATAAAGGATTTCATGATTCAGGGTGGAGATTTTGTTAATGTAAGTAGTTCCTTTCCTATCAAAGCTTTAGAATCTTTCTTTATTTTTTGTTATTGCTGTTGCTACTATTTTTACTATAGGGACCCATTCCTAAGGCTTGAGAACAAAATAGCCAGGCTTGATGCGGGGAGGAGATGGGGATGGGAATGCCCTTGAACGTTGCTGGCTACCACTCACTGTACCATCAGGTGACACACATCAGTACTTTGACTGAGTCACCAGCTTCCAAGTCTCAGCCTTTCAGGGACAGAAATGGACATTTTCCAACATACCTGTAGAGCAGGACTGTCAAACTCATTTGCACTGGGGTCCTCATCAGCTTCAAGGTTGCCTTCAAAGGGCCAGATGTAATTTTAGCACTGTATAAATGTAACTACTCCTTAACTAAGGGCAAGGAGCTCGGTGCTGCTACTGGGTAGAAACAAGGTGTCGGGTCGGATAAAACAAAGTAGAGGGCGGGATTCGGCCTGCAGGCCTTGTGTTTGCCACCTGTCCTGTAGACGATCCATGACAGATCCAAATTAATTAGTTATGTGAAACTCAGCTACAAATCAGATGCAACTTGTTTGAACTAAATAGTAGTCCCTTTTCAGTGAGCTAACTGCTTATGCTCCATTTTCCTTTTCACTTCCAGTATCACAGTGCCTGAAAAGCTGAGTTTTTAATCATAAGTTGATTAGGGTACAAGGAATCAGCAAGAGAGGTAGACAGTTCTGAAGGGATGTTTTCTCTCTTCACTGGGAGAGCCCAGTGGAGTAGCGCTCTGCTACTAAGCATGACTTTCCTGTTAGAGTTTCTGTGTGTCCCCTGGAGTCAGTCTGTCACTCTTCCCCTGACCTTAGGGTTTTAAAGAGTTCTCTCTTTCCTATCCAGGTAAAGTTACAAAGTGCAGATTTTAGGCCAAATCAGGCTTTCAGATATGTTTTCTTTCATCTTTATGATGCTGCAAAACTGGCAAAAAATTCTGGAGTTTTGTTTCCTCTCTAAAGAATGGAAAATAGGAGTGCACTAGGCCTATGTTTCTCATGCGGTGACAATTAGTTGAAATCAAATAATTGCTTCTTTTAGACAAGGTGTGTCCTTGCCATTTCACCGTAGTCCCCAACACCTGTTTCCCTTGTTTATGTCATCTGCCCCCATAGTTTGCAGCCCCTGACCACTACTGATGGTACTAAGGCTTGGGGTCACCATGCATTTCTTTGTTAGCTGGTAAGAAGGACTGTGAAGACATTCTCTGCCTTCTTTTCTTTCTTCCCATTGGCTTCCGTATCGCCATATTGACTTCGCGGGAACAGGACCAACTTCTTACTGGTCATTGCCAGACTCACCCGGTCACCTGCTGATAGCCCCAGGATTAGATAATAATTGGTCAGCCAGAAGGCTGAACATCAGAGAGAGGCAACTGCTCAGAGCCACTCATAGAGAATTAAAAACAGAATGAGCAAGAGGCAGAAGAAGCAGGATTTGAGACCTTCTAAAGTTGGACCAAGAATATTTGTTTGTTTTAGTAATATTTGGTATTTATTTATTTATTGAGAGAGGGGAAGGGAGGGAGAGAAACATCGATGTATGAGACATGCAGATCAGTTGCCTCTTGCGCACCCCCAACTGGGGACCTGACCCGCAACCCAGGCATGTGCCCTGACTGGGAATCGAACTGGTGACTTTTTGGTTCTCAGTCTGGCACTCAGTCCACTGAGCCACACCAGCCAGGGCTTTTCTTTTTGTAAAAGAAAAGTACAAGAAATGAAGTAAGTCATCTCTCACGGAATAACTCTTGTCATTTTAGTTTACAGCTGTCAGTCTTTGCAAATGTATGTGTGTCAACTACAATTTCTAACAGACATAAATTATACATATGTTTAAATTTCTTAAAGATTTTACTTATTTATTTTTAGAGAAAGGGGAAGGGAAGGGAAGGGGAAAGAAAGGAAGAGAAACATCAGTATGTAAGAGATACATTGATTGACCAGCTGCCTCTCATTTGCCCTCAGCTGGCCTGCAGCCCAGGCATGTGCCCTGACTGGGAATTGAACCAGTGACCTTTTGGTTTGCAGGCCGACACTCAGTCCACTGAGCCACACCAGCCAGGGCAGATCATACATATGTTTTAATTTTTTTGTACTTAACAATTGTTTGCATTTTCCCTTGTTATTAAGTCTTCTTCCAAAACACTTTTTCTAATAGCTACCTAATATTCCATAATGAATAGACAGTGAATTTATTTGATCAACCCACTATTGTTGAAAATTTAAGTTGCTTTCTAATGTTTGCTCTGAAAATTCATTTTTGTCATTTTTCCTACTCTGGCTTCTGGAGAGCAATAGCTAGTGCAGTTACAGAGGATGATATGGTAGCTGATCTGTCCCCTAGGTTTATTGGGAAATTAGAGCCCTCCCCTGGACGAATCAGCACTGGCGAGGAGGGTGCTATCACGTGGTACACACTAGGTTTCCAACGGCTCACCCACCACATGGTTTGGGAGGTGGGGTAGGGTAACAGTCACTTAGGTGGGTACTTGTATGTGACTGACTGCAGGCAGGAGAGTCTGAGAATGGCAAGGATTGTCTATATGGTCACTGTGCTGTTCCCTACTTAGTGTCTTAACCTGTCTTTCTAGAGGCCCAGCTCTGACCTCTTTTACCCAGTCTGTGAGATCTGGCCAGGTAGTAAGCTACGTGTGCCTTGGACGGGGCTTGCTTTGACTTCAGGATAGGGCCAGCAAGCGTGGACTTTAGGGAAGCTAGACTGCAGGTGCAGCAGCTGTCTTTTTCTGGTCTCTGGAGGGACCAGCACTTGCGAGTTGCTAATACTTCCCTTCTCTCTGCTCAGGGAGATGGTACTGGAGTCGCCAGTATATACCGGGGACCATTTGCAGATGAAAACTTTAAACTTAGACACTCAGCTCCAGGCCTGCTTTCCATGGTAAGTGAGGTCCAGTCAAGACTTGGAGTTAGATTTATCGCCAGTTGGTTTCTGGGCCCCTCTTGAGGCTCAGTGGTGTCTCTTTGGATGAAAGCAAATGCTTTTCTTCTCTTGCTCAGCCCAGGACTCACCTCGGTTGTGCCCACCTCTTTTTTCAGTGTGGTTTGATTTTGTTGGTTAGGGGAACTAAAACTGACCTCTGCTATGTGTTTTTTACCATTTATCTGAGCCAAGTCATGTGGCTGAGCATTTAGCCTCACTTCTCAGTGCCCATATACTCACACTGCCTATTGGCTGGTCACCTCCTTTCACTCACTCCCCACTCATTGCTCTCCACTCACACCCCCTGCCCCGGCACTCCCCTCCCCACTTATAACTCCACTCACACAGGTCACTCTTTTACAGTCCCTCTGCCCACCTCACTTAAAACCGTTCATCTACCCTACTCCTGCTCACTCTCCTTCGCTTCCCCACATTCACCTCTGACTCCTCATTTTCCCTTACCCCTCCCACCTTGCTTCTCCCTCTCTCCAACCTCCTCCCTCCTGCTCATCACCCTTTTCCTTCTGGCAGTGCCCCAAATCTCACACCCCCAGATCCAATGTTTGTGTGCACGTTCCCTGCTTGCCCTCTCCACCACTTACCCACTTAGGCAGTCATCAAGTAAACATTTGTTGATGTCCTCTCTGTTTCGGGCTCCACGGTAAGGTATGAGACCTGATTCCTGTCCTTATGTCACTTAACGTCTAATGGGGGTATCACTCATGCAAAACAACAAGTATAGTTCAGTGCAGTCCATGCCATCGGTGTATTAAGGTGAGAACACTTAACTGTATGTAAGGACACCTTACTGTATGTAAGGACTCTGTGAGGGCCCTGAGGAATGGGAATGACTGCTGCTGGGGGGCGGGCTAGGCTGTGTCACAGAGGAGGGGACATTTGAGTTTTTGAAAGAGTTCTGTACCAGAGGGCATGTGGCCCTGGTTGAGGGACAGAAAGTGAGGAAGGTGCTGAGAAGAACATAGGATGGGAACGGCAGGTGGAGTGGACAGGCCAGTAAGAGACCTGAAGAGGCAGGTCGTCTGGCTCCCGAAGGGCTTTACATGGCAGAATAAGGGTGAGGTGTGTGAACTTCCTTTCATAGGTTACAGAGAGCCATACACTTTTTGAGCAGAGTTGATCAAACTTTGTGTTTTCGAACAAAAACGCTAGCTGCAGTGTGAGTGGCACATGGGAATGGAGAGGCCGGGGCGGAGAAGCCCATTAGGAGGCTGCCCTGATAACTGAGGGGACCAGCAGTACAGTAAGCCCCCTCTTAGGAAAGTCAGGTTGGGCAAGTGCAGGTAAAGGGTGGAGAAGTGGCTTAGGTTAGCTTGGATCTTCTCCAGGAGCATTAAAACAGCTCGGAGTTCATGCCGCTATGTTAGCATCGATGGAGGAGTCAGAAAAATGGAAGGCAGCTTGGTCCTTGCTCCCTTCAGGCTGACACTGGTTGAATTGTGCTGTCAGTGTTCGGTGGCATGGTTGTTTTTGCTCTTGTCTTCACTAAATCACGTGTTCCTCAGGGGCAGGGACTGGGTCTCTTTGATCTCTAAGCCCTATGCCTGACACAGAAAGGTGTCGAGCAGATATTGATGAATGGCCGGAAGATGATCAGAATAATGGGTAACATTTATTGAGCACTTAGTCAACAAGCACCTTATTTGCGTTAATTTATTTAAAGCTTCTCCACATCTTTAAGATAGGTACGAATGAGGAAACGGAGGCACAGAGAGAGGTTATGGGACTAAACTCAGGGCACGCAGTCAGTGGTAGAGTTGGGATTCGCACTAGGTCGCCTGGCTCCCGAGAATCCACAGCAGATTCTCTAAACCAGTAAGTCATACTGCCTTGCAGAATGAACAAAGAAGTGGCTAAGGGCAGAGTGTCCCCTGAGCTCTGAAAACATGTCGTGTGGCTGCTTTCCTGTCTGCTCGCTAATAAATGTTTAGACATAGAGCAGCAAACTAGATTGGATGGGTGGGTGGGTGGGTGGATAGGATGAACTGGGACCCCTGAGAGGCCTATGCCTCATTCCAAAGCCTAGGCCTATTCTGACTGGCCCAGAAAATGCCTGATTTTCATGTGTGAGGTGTTACCGAACACATGTACGAAAACCAAAAATAACCTCATCTTACATGGCGAGTTGCTCAAATATAGTACGAAATCCCTAATTAGAGCTTACCCTTAGACAATGTCTTTAATGGCTTTATAGTATATCATAAACAGTTTTATTCCTTCACAGTTGAACACGGAATCAACCAATTTAAATCTAATATCTGATTAAAGCTAGTTATCCAATAATTTCCAGCTTTGCCTCAGTAACAGTTTTGTAAGACCTGTACTTTTAACAGTACTAGTACTTTCAGTTTTCCATTTTCTTCTCATGTTTTTCCAAAATAGGGGAAGCGTCATAATATGTTCGTGGTGCACCAACATGGATGTAAGACAGTGCTGCTGAAACTTGATGTACAAAAGTCGGGCTTTAGCACACTGAGGGCGGTTTGGGGTGTCAGTGTGGGATGAGCGGAAGTGCACTCTGTATGCAGGTCAAAGGTCTCCTTTTACAAAGCACCGCTCTGCATTGTGGTTGTGCCTGTTCTTTGATGATGTGTTATTAACTATAATGATGTAAAAATAATTTTAAGGGAGGAAAAGGGAAGGGATATAGCCACGCCTACAAAGTTTCAGATTCTCTATTTTAAAAAATACTTTTTCTGTAAAATTCAATAACAAAGGATTTGGGTATAGTAGTAAAAAGCAAATGTCTTTGATTAAATATAGTCATTTTTCTATCATATCACTCACAACTTGCACCTTCTTAAATTTTTTAGATTACCATTGTAATAGTACAACACCACTCAGACAAAGCAGCTTATGGCACAGACAGCAGGCCTTTCCTCGCCTGGTAGATGCTCTGTCATTGTAGTTCAGTTACAACTAGTATTGGACTAAACACAGCAAATCAGGTCCCATAAAGTCATTCCCATAATAAAAATTCACACTGTAGGAGAAATGTACATTTATTCAAGGATCTAGTTCCTTGAGGGCAGAGATTGTGTGTCCAGTTTATCTCTGTATCCGTGGGTCCTAGCTTAGGCCTGGGCTTGTAATGAATGCTCAGTGAGTTTTGCTGAAAGAAAGTGTGGAGGAATCAGGGCCGCAGGTTCTTTGTGTAGTCTCTCTCTTCAGCCAGCGTGGCCAGGAGAACTCACTGCAGGTATATCTGGTTTCCGTCAGGCAAACAGCGGTCCCAGTACAAATGGCTGCCAGTTCTTCATCACCTGCTCTAAGTGTGACTGGCTGGATGGGAAGCACGTAGTGTTTGGTGAGTCCTGCTCCTGTGCCATGGTCCTGGCCCCATTCACCCAAAGTGGGACTTCCAAAGAAGCCATTCCCTGCACACTCACACCAAGAGAGCCTGACTAGTTTACCCACTCTGTGTAGTAGGGGGGAGGTGGCAGCAGTGGGAGGTGGGGAGATGCATGGAAAGACAAAGGGGCCATCTGATAAAGTGTGCTACCACTCAGGTGATACATAGGTATGGGGGGAAAACCCAGGGGGGTGGTGCTCAAGAAATACCCCAGAGGAAGCATGGTGCAGTGGGGCTTTGCAATCACTCAGGTTTGAGCCCTAATTCTGCTACTTAGTGTGCTCTCTGTGACCTTGGGTAAATCATTTCACCTCTGTTGAATCTCAATTTCCTGAATTGGTGTGAGGATCAAATGAGACAATGGTGTGAGAATGAGCATTGAAAGCCAGAATATGCTATGCAAATGAGAATAGTGAAATCCATCTCATGCTCTTCTTACAGGGAAAATTATTGATGGACTTCTAGTGATGAGAAAGATTGAGGTAAGTCCTGTTTTGATTCCTTTTCCTCAGTTGTTCTGGTCTGGTACTACCTGACTAGGGTCAAGAACGAGAGGATCCTGAGCGGGCTTCGTCTGTTAGGCCCGGTCATCCATTCCATTGACTTCTTCAAGGGAAAGGAGGAGAGACCGCATGCCTTCCAAGTGTTTCTGGCCTATAATTAGCCTCTGTGATACACACGGAGCTATGGCCTGGGGTGGCCCCTCCACCTACTTGATAAACTCCTATTCAGCACTGCATTCAAGATCCCTCGTGACCTGGCCCCTGCCTGCCTTTCCCTTCCCCTGCTGCCACTGCTGCCTCCACGTTCCAGTCACACTGGGCTACTAGCTTTTCTCACACATCACTGTCCCTTGTTCCTTCTTGCCCCTGAGCTTTCGCTCATGCTATTTCCTCTGTTTGGAGTGCTCTTCTCCTTTCTTTTCCTCCGTCCCATTTATCCTCAGTCCAGCTCAGATAATCCCCTGTTCTGGGAATCCTGCCCTGACCTCTTCAAGCAATGTTTAGTTGCTTCCTCTGCCCCATTTATACTTTCTTATAACTTATTATATTGTTACATATCATAGCTTTGATATTTTTAAATGTGCATATTGTTTTTTATCTGTATTATGTGTTTTCCCTATCTGCTAGGACATGGACTGTTGTCATTTCAGCCTCTGATCCCTCAGTCCTTAGCCCAGGGGCTGGCAGACATCAGTAATGTTTAAGGAGTGTGTGCAGCTGAGTGGATGAATTTTGACTGTGCTTTCTGTCTTAGAATGTTCCCACGGGGCCCAACAATAAGCCCAAGCTGCCCGTGGTGATCTCACAGTGTGGGGAGATGTAGCCCCAAGCAAGACTGAATCAGGTAAGTGCGTCTTCTCTTTCTGGTTGGGAGTCGCCCCAGAGAAGGCAGTGTGGCCTAGTGGAAAGCACCTTAGATTGGAAGACGTGGGACTGAGCCATTTCCTCTCTTGGTGACCTAGCAGGGGTCACTTCCCTTCTCTGAGCCTGTTTCCTCATCTGTCAAATGGAGACAGTACTTCTCTCTTAGGGTCCTTATGAGGATCACAAGAGAAAGAGTTATTAGGGCACTTTACTTTTCTACCGCTTTGTGACTTACAGAGTATCAGCCTGAACGCCTTAGGCAGTTTGTGACAGCTCTCGCAGACTGCAGTCTCCGTGGAGAGATGTGGCACCAGCTCTGGGTGACTCCCTGCCGGGTCAGCCTGAGCAGTCAGGAGACAGACCTGTCCTGCTTCTCACTAGACCCGACAGGGCAAATCCAGTTCCTGACTTGTATTTGCCAGCTTCGTAGGTGAACCTGACACCCTACCCATTCTTTTTTTTTTTAATATGTATTTATTTTCAGAGAGTGGGGAATGGAGGGAGAAAGACATCAAGTGGTTGCCTCTCACTTACCTCCAACACAACCCAGGCACATGCCCTGACTGGGAATCAAACCGGCAACCTTTTGGTCCACAGGCCGGCACTCAGTCCACTGAGCCACACCAGCCACTTTCTACCCATTCTTGCCACTGCCTGCTCTGTGCTGGGCGTCATGCTAGGCGTGCTGAGGAGGGCAAAACATTGAAGGATGTCTCTACCTTTCAGGAGCTTATAAGGAATAGGATACATTCTGAGAGGTTATCACTAGTAATGTGAGTGACGTTGCCAAGTGTCATAAGAATTCAAGGGAGAAATTGATCACTTCCAGCTAGAATGGTGGTGACTTTCTCTCTCCCATTTTCACACCTGCCAAAAAGTTGGAAGAATAGGACATGCAACACCCATATACATTTCAGCTAGATTAACATTCTTATTTATCATTTTGCTTCGACACTTGTTTTTCTCTTTCCTTCTTCCGTCCTCTCACATTCCCATTCCTTCTTTCCTCCCTTTCCCTTCCTTCATTTCTTTCCCATTTGAAAGCTAAAGGCTTCATGACACTTTACCCGTAAACACTTCACAAGCAGCTCCTAAAAACAACAACATCCTCCATAACCACGATAATGTCCGGTGTGCATGTTCAGAGTCCCCCCCGGTATCTACAAAGTAACTGTTGGATCTCTAGGGAAAGGCACCCAATCTAGGTGTACGTATTTCCTTTAGTTGGTTATTAAGTAACACTGTATACTGTATTTTGCCATGTATAATGTGCACTTTTTTGCCCAAATTTTTCAGGGAAAAATAAGGATGTGCATTATATATGAGTAGTATGTATTCTGTATCTATATAAATGTTTCTAATTCTTTTATTTATGCTTATGCATTAAAAGTATAACTCCAGAAAGCGATAATGATATTCTTATGCAAAATAATACCCTGGAATGTGATAATAGGTTTTGTTTCTAAGTATAAATAAATAAAAATTTGAATTAAAAAAATGAAAACAAAAGTTTTTGTTTTTTTTCCCACAAAAGTTTGGGCCAAAACCATGGGTGTGCATTATACACAGGAGCACATTATACACAGCAAAATATGGTAATCTCATACAAATTTTCACACAAAACAGTTCAAGCGAAAGTCCCCGCCCCTGACTCCCCCTTGGCAATCCTGTGGCCCCAGTCCTACTCCTGTCCCCAGACGTAACTTCGTCAGTTGGATGTGTATCCACCAGGGCCTTTTCTTTGCCTAATTTTGGGAGGTTTTGTTTTTCCTAAATGTTATTATACTACATGGTCCGGCAGAAGTAAGGCCTGCTTCAGTGTTGTTGGTCGGGTAATACTATGCGTGTGATAATTTATAGTTTTAATTTGAACATTTCACCTCAAATGTCATGTGGTGTGCTTAGGTGTGATATTGTTATGTTACAGAATTACATGCTTATGATTTTGTAATAAAAAGGGGCATTGTCTATGCTGGACCCTGTATATTGTTCATCGTTGTGTTTCCATTTGGCATTATGTCCTTCTCTGTTCAAGTAAAACTACCTCATTAAAAAATAAAAAAAAATAAAAAGCAAGTCCTGGCTTGTGTGGCTCAGTGGATTGAGCACCAGCCTGGGAATTGAAGGGTCACTGGTTCGAATCCCATTCAGGGCACATCCCTGGGTTTCAGGCCAGGTCCCCAGTTGGGGATGTGTGAGAGGCAACTGATAAGTATATCTCTTGCATGTTTCTCTCCCTCTCTTTCTCTCTAAAAGTAAATAAATGAAATCTTCAAAACAAAAAAGCCAAAAAAACTGCCTTGGCAGGATGGCTCAGTGGATTAGAGCATCATCAACATGCACCAAAGGTTGCAGCTCGTGCCTGCAGTGAGCGTGGAAAGCAGCCAATCGATGTTTCTTTCACGTCAGTGTTTCTTTCTCCCTTTCTCTCTAGAATCAATAAATATATGTTTGGGTGAGGATTTAAAAAAACTAACATAATATTCTGGGAGATGTTTGTAGCATATAGTTTATTTTTCCTTTTTCTTTTTTAAAGCTTTTATTTATTTTTACTTTCAGAGAGAGGGGGAGAAACATCGATGTGCAGATGTGCGAGAGAAACATGGAAACATCAGTTGGTTGCATCTCGCACGCCCCCAACTGGGGACCTGTCCCACAACCCTTCAGTTTGCAGGCCACTGAGCCACACCAGCCAGGGCTATTTTTTTTTTTCCTTAATGATATGAATAGTTATGCATTCTGAGTCTTAGTTCTTTGCAAGTTATGACTATTTTCTCCAGAAGTCTTAGTTCTTTGTATGTTGTGACTATTTTGTCCAGATTATAGTTTAAGAAAAAATTGGCAGTGTGTTGCTTCTCTGAACTTTGGTTATATCCTTTGTTAAACAGAAGTTCTAAATTTTGATAAGGTAAAAATACCAGTCTTTCGCTTATGGCTTTTGTGGTTTATCTTGTTTAAGAAAGTCCTTACTACCTCAAATCATAATGTTTTCTGTATTCTTGCTAATATTTCTTTAGTTTTATTTGTATACTCACCAAATTATCTCAGAATATATTTTTCTCCCTGCCTTTTTCCCCAAATGGAGTTCCAGTCAAATTCTAGACTACCTTAATGACCATTCATACCTCTATCTGTGAGTTACTTTGTGTTCACAGCATCTGGCCCTTATAGGCATTCAGTAAAATTTTATTACACAAGTTAGTAGAGAGAGAGAGAATGTCAGGCATGTTAGGCAGGGACCTGGTGTGAGCAAATACCGAGGCAGGAATGCACAAGTGTATGCTGGAAGCTGCATGCAGACCTCTCTCTTGTGCAGCCAGATGGTCCCTTTTCAGGCCCAGCTGACACCTAAGCTTGCCTTTCTGCTCGGACTGTATCCCCCTTGAATAGCTGCGGGCCATTCCCTCCCTTTCTCCCTTAGCTCTTTGCTGTAACTAAAGTTGAACTCATAGGTCCTTTTTCTTCTAAAGATTAACCTGATTACTGCCAGAGGACAGAATATAAAATAAAGAAGATTAAAAAAATAAATTCTTTATATTTTGGGCCTCTTGTCTATATTTTTCTGGGTCCCTTACAGAAAGTTACTAGATGCCCTTTTTGGGGGTTTGACTTCTGAGGGTGGCAATGGTCAGCCTCACTCACTGTTAGCAAAGAAAGACCATATAACCTTTGCCCCCATGAAAGCCCCTCTTCTCAGGCCATAGCGGAAGCAGAACAGATTCCACGGGGGCTGTTGTTCGATGTTCCTGAGGCCCTCAGGGTCAGAACTGTCCGGCAGACATTCCTTTCTGCGATGGAGAAAATGTTATAGCTGTGCTGTGAGGGTAGCTTCCAGCCAAGGTGACAACTGAGTTCTTAAATTTAAGGAGCCACGTGTGGTGTTGCCAATTCAGACACCTAATCCTGGCTTGCTCAGAATTGTAGCTTTCGTAGATAACACTGAGGAACAATATAATGAAGGCAGTTATCACTCACTGAATACTTCTTATGCTCAAATATTGAGCTAAGAATTTTACTTGCATTATCTCATTTAACTTTACCAAAAGTCCCCATCATAGGTTTTAAGGCACAGGTGGCAAACACAAGGCCCGTGGGCCAAACTCCAAGGTGGAGTTTGGCTCTCCACCTTGTTTCTACCAGGCAGCAGCACCGAGCTCCTTGCCCCTAGTTAAGGAGTAATTAGTTACATTTATACAGACCTAAAAGTCACATTCAGCCCTTGGAAGGCAACCTCGAGGCTGATGTGGCCCCCGATGAAAATGAGTGTGACACCCCTGTTTTAAGGTGTTAGGGAATCTACATGGCAGTGTGACCTACATGAGTTCCAGAGATGGAAGCCCCTCCTTGGGTTTCTGAGTAATGTCACTGGGGAGAAAGTAAGGAAAAGAGGAGAATAATTCCTCAGGCAACAGGGAACCATCCTATCCCTTTCCTTCCTAGCTATAAAGTTACAAGTATCTCTAATTCTGAGAGCCCGCCCCATTCCAATCAGAAAAGACCTAGGAGGAGATGATGTCTTGGTGGCACTGAATGCAGGAATCTACTGCATTCAGATCAAGATGTCACCTAATGATGCACTTGAGGCCTTGTGCCTAGGCCCTGAAAATATAAGGAGATAAAAGGTGGGTGGGGCCACCTGATCCACTGTATCATTTCCTTTCAGAACTCTTGTGTTTTGCCTTAGACTCTGACTTTGGTTTTAGTAAAAATGAAGTTTTCTGTATAATCTTTGTTCGATGTAGGAACGTTGATTTTTATCTTGGGGTCCTATAAAAGCCTTTTACGATAAATTTGGATGCGTAAGGGAACCTTGGCCCTCAGGAATCTCCTGCTGCAGTCTGAACTGGGTTCTTTGCTCCTTATAATCACACATGGGCTGGTGGAACCTCCGTTTTAAAAGCCTGAGAGTTTCTTGGAAAAGGGAGTGGCTGTTGGCCCTGGCAGCCCCACTAGTCTGAACTGCTGCTCACCTCCCTGTGATCCCCAAACCTGGTATGTGTGGCCAGCAGTAGAGACTTTGTTTAGTTCATTGAACCCCAAATTCCCCAAAGAAGAAGAATCACTTGGGAACACTTGTTAAATCTACTCATCCCCAGATTCCTCCCCTGGAGAGTTTATTTTAACATTTGCATCTGAGGAAAACATACATAATTAGCACAACACATAATTTTACAATTATAGCTTATAATGAGGCATTATTGAAGTTCAAATAGTGATTAGGTTTCGATTAATTACGCCTGTGGGTGATGGCTATTGCGACATTTGTGAAGGCGCTGTTTGGAGGGGCTGCGACTTAGGACGTGGTCTTCCCCTCTCTGGGATTACCTGCAGATGTGACGGGTGCCCGCGGAGAGTGGCTGTGAAAGGCGCGTGGTGGCCCATGGGCTGGTCCTCCCTTCCGGGACTCAGCCCTAATTAATTAAAATTGGTCCTGTGCCGGGTGATCACTTCCTAAGGTATATAACTGTCTTTACTCACTAGGCTGTTTGCCTGAAAGTACTATAATACTGTCTGTCATCAGTAATTGAAAAATAAAATTTTCTTAAAAGATAGGCCCCATACTGCAGACGAGGCTGCAGATTTAAAAAGCCCAGTTCCTGCCTCCAAGGAACGCACAGTCTCCTGGGAGACTTGGCGTCACAGACAATAAAGCATGGACTGCAGGTTTTAGGACGAAGTAAGGGAAGTAGGAGTGTCCGTGTCTGACCGAAGTAGTTTGGGAAGACTGAAAGAGACGATGCTTCAGCTTAGTACACCAGAGAATAGCTTGTCAGGTGGCTGAAACTGGGGGAGGCACTCCAGGCAGAGGGAACAGCATGAGCCAAGCACACCAGCAGGACACATGTGGGAGACGGCAAATAGTGCAATACGGCCGAAGCAGAAGGGTCTGAAAAGCAGACAGAGGGGAAGCTGGTGGAGGGCAGGGCTGGCTGTGAGAACCAGCGCAGGCTGAGGAGCCCCTGTGCTGTCCTGGGGGGTGGGGGTGAGCTGCAGGCAGTGTGTACATTTTTTTCCTCCCTGGAGTCAGGGTTGATTGTGCCCCTGTAATTCTCGAAACAGTCCCTGATCTTCCAAAAGAACCAAGCCAGTAGGAGTCCCAGAGGGATTTTGAGCAGGAGAACACTGTGATTGGACTTTCTCAAAAGTTGATTCTGGCAGCAAAGTGGAGGATGAGGTGGAGGCCAGTAAGGTGTCCCCTGCAGCGGTCCAGGCCAGAGAAAGGTTCCACACCAAAATACTGGTCTTGGGGGCACTAGATTTGGTGGCAAATGTTTGCATTCCTGTTGTGTGGGACACTGTTTGTCCCTGCCCTGAACAACCTGAGATTAAATCAAGCACCAGAGAAAAAGATGAAATTAGGAGATGTGATAAGCGTGCAACGCTGCTGGTGAAGCACAGTATTCTGTTCTACA